AGCAGCTGTGGATGCCCCATCCCGGGAGGGGTTCAAGGCCAGGCTGGATGAGGCTTTGTGCAACCTGGGCTAGTGGGAGGTGTCCCTGCCCAAAGGTCCCTTCTAACCCTAATGATTCCATGATCCCCTCTGCACTCCCCAGACTGGGCAACGTTTGCGCTGGGCCCTGGGCACGGGATCCAGCTGCGGTCAGGCCGACTGCTGGTGCCCGCCTACAGCTACCACATCGACTGCAAGGAGTGCTTCGGGCAGCTCTGCAAGACCACCCCCCACTCCTTTGCCTTCTACAGCGACGACCACGGCCGGGGCTGGCGCTTTGGCGAGTTCATTCCCAACCTGCAGACGGGTGAGTGCCAGCTGGTCTCGGTGGACGAGGAGGACGGCTCCAATGTCCTCTACTGCAACGCCCGCAGCCCCTTGGGCTTCAGGGTGCAGGCGCTGAGCACGGATGACGGGGCCGTCTTCCATGGGGGGCATCCGTGGGGGGCAGCGGGTCCAGCGTCTGGTCGAGCCCCCTCACGGCTGTCACGGCAGTGTCATTGGCTTCCCTGCACCTTTCGTCTATGTCCCCACCACCCCCCGGGACTCTGGGATGTCTCTCCAGGGCTCAGCACGCCGGCGGCTACCTGAGATTCTCCCAGGGTTCCGGTACCTGCCCGCCCAGCCAGCCGCGAGGGATAAGCTGCCCACCGTGGCCACCAGCAGCCACCCCAAGCCAGCCGAGCCCAAGGAGGGCTGTCTTTCCCCAGGACATCTCAGCCATGCTGGCGGTGTCACCTCAGTCCCAGGGAACCCCGCAGTGACCCCCAACCCTGCTGCCTTCTTTCAAGCTCCAACATGGGTCCTCTACTCCCACCCCACCAGCTCCATGTCAAGAGTCAACATGGGGGTCCACCTGAGCACCTTCCCCAGGGACGTGGAGAGCTGGACCGAGCCCTGGGTCATCTACGAGGGCCCAAGCGCTTACTCGGACCTGGCTTACATGGAGCTGCCCTACAATGAGACCTCCATCACGGGTGGCCCAGCCATCGCTTTTGCCTGCCTCTACGAGAATGGGACACGGTCGCCCTATGAGCAGATCTCTTTCAGCATGTTCACTCTGCACGATGTGCTCCAGAACATCCCCCTGACAGCCACTGCTCCCCGGCAGGACAGGGACCCCCCGCACCAGGGGAAGCGGGAGCGAAGGAGCTGCCTTGTGTCCTAGTGCCCTCCCAGGTCGGCTCCCCCCAGACCTGTGGTCCTGCCACCAGCCAGTGTGGCTACATCACACAGAAGGCATGTGCCACCATCCCAAAACTGGCTGTTATCTCATTTTTATTGCTATTTTTTTAATTATATAGTTGGTTGGGCAGGGAAGCCCCAGGCTCCGTTCTGAGCACAGGAGCCACACTGGGAAATGTATAATGGGGGGGCACCAGCAGCAAAGCAGGGGAGAAGGCAGCCAGGGCGCCCGGTGCCGCCCGCGTGTACTGGGTCGAAGGACATGATGCTCCGGCTGTGACGTACCTGGTACTGCCACCCTGCTCCAAAGGTTTTCCTCCACCAGGTATAAATATTTATAGTCCTCTTTTTCAGGTGTTTTTTAAATGATGGTGTTCCAGCCAACTCCTCTTTTTTTCAACGGTCTCTCAGAAATCACCTGGTTACTGTTTAATTGGGCTGGTGGCTTTTTTTTTCTTTTTTTTTTTAACGCTACCATGGACATTGCTGCTTGCCCCTGACCCTTATCAGTTCTGTGGCAAACCTCTTCAGGGCACAGGCAGGTTCAGGTCTGTGAGGGTTTAGGGGACACGGGCATGAGAATGGGGGACAGGCGGAAACCGGGGGCACCCCCTCAGCCTGAAGCCGGTGACACCCCCTGCGAGTGCAGCGGCGGGTGGTGCGGTGGGGTCCTGGGCTGGGGGATGAGCAGTGACTCCTAACATTCGCTGCACGTGCGTGGGCAAGGGCGAACTTTGGGGGGGGCTACACCCCATTTCCAGTACTACCCCCTTCAGCATGACTCCATCCAAGTCCCCCAGCCCCAGTCGGAGGCTGGCTCGGCTCCTGTGGTCTCCTTCGTCCCTCCTGTCCCATGCAGGAGACAGACGCCAATGCAATCTGTCCTCAGTCCAGACTGATCAACAGAAACAAGTTAACGTTACAGCTCTTGTCTCTGCCACTACCACCGTGTCGCATTTTGCACTTAGTTGCAGGGTGGGAACTGATGAGGAGCGGCCAGGGAAGCCCTTGGCTCGTGCTGGGATGCCGGGAGCCGGGTCCCCACCCCCATCCCTCACTGGGCTGGTGTCCAACCCCACACGGCTGCCAGCTCCCAGGGCGGGGGACGGGGTAGCGCCTGGGTGGGGGGCTCTGCACGGAGGCAGCCCTTTGCACGCTGACCCCACGCACATCGCTTCGACCTCTCATGCGGGCTGGGGGGGGTCCATCCCCCATGGGGCAGTCTGTCTGCCTTGCACTGGGCTCCTGCACCGGGCTGGTACCCCAGCTTGTGCCGTATCCCCTCCATGACGTTTGTCACCAGCCAAGGGACACCCAGGGACGATGCCTCCTCCAAGTGCCAGCCCTCTGGCACCACAGCAGGTCCCTACTTCCCCTCGCAAAAGCCGCAGAGGCAACCGAGGCAGCCGTTTAGGATCTGGAGGGAGGCCAGGACCATCTCGGCAGCGCTGACGAGCAGCAGGAGGGAGAAGAGGATGACGTTCCAGGCCACGATGCCCGCTGGCTCCAGACAGATGTTCCAGGTGTGACGATTGTGCAGGTAACTCTCTACCCTGTGCAACGGGGAGAGGAGGAGATGCAAGATGCTGTGCTGTGGCTGGTCAGGAATCACATCACATTCCACCATGGAGGTGTCCCCCTGATGTCCCCTCCCTCATCCCGAGAACGGGCTCAGCGGGGTGACGAGAATGGGAAGCACCACGTAGAAAGCCATGGGAGGTGAGGACCTCTTGAGCTACTACCAGCAAGCCCACTGCTCCCACCCCCATAAATAACACCACCTTCATTAGCAATAAGCCGGTGAGGTGGCACCAGGACTCACCTGGCATCAGGCTCCTGGCTGCCAGCGTCCAGGAAGGGGTAACCCCAGAGGGTGCTGTGCCCGCGGCCGTGCTCCGAGGCGTTGTACAAGCAGAGGGGTCCGTTGGTCAAACCCACCCCGCAGAGGAGGAAGCAGGCAGCGGCACCCAGCAGCGCCAGCTTGGAGAGCACGGCGGAGATGAAAGCCTGTGGGCAGCACCCGGGGAGGACTGAGCTCAGGCAGGGTCCAAAACACGGCTGTGCATTATCTGTGGGGGCTGGTAAGGGGGCAAAACCCCCCTGCACCCCAGAGGGCTCCTAGGCTGAGGCCGGAGCCATTGCTGGGTTGTTTCAAGCTGCACAGAAGCGGGCAGGGAGCGGGGATGGGCAGGGAGCTTCGCACGGAGCCTGGTGGGGCAGAGCCCACGCCAGCACCCACGTGAAGCCCTGTCCTCTGGGGTGGTGGCACCACGCAGCATCCCACCACAGGGCCATGCAGGTGGGGCACCCTGCCACGACCCACCACGGGAGAGGGGGATCCATGCCACATCCCACTGCAGAGCCACGGGAGAGGTGGCACCTTGCCAGGCCCCAGCCCGGGAGAGGTGGCACCCTGCCACGTCCCACCCTGGGGCCACCCACCGCCTCCCACCACTGTCCGCTTGGGACTGCTTGGGCACGGGGGTGCCAGCTCTGCCTTACATTGCGCCGGGTGCCACAGTCGGAGCAGCTGGCACATCGCCACCCCACTGCTGTGATGTGGGTCGCTGCCAGCAGCACCTGCAGGAAAGAAACAATGGCTGGGGGACAAACGGAGCTGCCTGCTCCATCCCTTCGTCCCCGCTCCGCAGATGCGTGAGGAAGGACACGGTGCAAGCCCCGGTACTCACAGCGATGCCGCCTCCCCAGACGCCCGGCAGGGCTTTGGCGTGTTTGCTGATGTGCCCCTCGGCCAGGTACTTCGTTGCCCCACTGGGGAAGAGCAGGAGGATGTTGGCTGCCACGGAGAGCGTGCCCAGCACCAGCAGGCAGGGACCCACAATCCGGCTGCACTTCCCCACGCACATGGCCACCACCCTGCACAGGGATGCGGAAGAGGAGGAGGAGAGGAAGGGGCTGTCTTCAGCCCTGCAGTGCCCCACGGCTCCCCCACTCCCAGCCCATCTCAAAGATGCAGGTGGACAGGAGTTTGCTGGTTTATGCTTTTGGGTCCCACCCTACCCCACCGGCACTGCCCTTAGTTCAGAGCAATTTCCAGTGGAAAGCCTCTTCTCCCACACCATCTAAGTACTGAAATATTAAAAATAAATTCAATGCCTACACCAGTCTACTGCTGACAAACAGTCTTCTTGAGGTTGAGCTATTTTGTCGTAGAAGGAGAAGCCCAGCGTCAAACCTGCTAATATTTCTTTGCCAAATGGGCAAGGGAGTTTAAGACGAGGGCAGGTTGCACGTTGAACTGGCCTTGAAACCTGTGCACCCACGGGGTCAGCTCCTCCAAAACGTTCCTGCAGGAAGGAGACCAGCCACCGTGGCTCGGCTGGACTTGGAGTGCTTACAATGAGCCGGAGGGAGCCAGGGAAGGAGTGAAAGCCTTGGACAAGGACTTGTGAAAGCATGTCAGTCTCCAAGCAGCAACTCCAGCCCCATCACGCACTAGTCCTACCACAGGTCTGATTATGCTGAAATCAATTAATTAAGACAAGGTTATCACCTATCCTTGGGCAAGCAATCCAGCTCTGCTGGTATTTTATTAAGTTATCAGTTCACCTAGAAAGTGCCTGCCCATCTCCAGGTAATAGCTTGTCAAAAATTAGCTTTCCCTCTTCTGTACCTGCAAGGGGGAGAGGTCCATTGGCCACTCTGGGATCGCAGAAAACAACTTGGTTTGCTGCTGCCCCGGCTTCCCCGTTTCCTTCTACCCTGCCTTCATTTTTCTTCAGGGTGTTTTTACGCATCTTCCCCTTTCCTGGTGGCTTGCAACCCCTTTTGCACAAGCTCCATGAAGTCAGCTGCTTCTCACGCTGGCTAATTTATTTCAGGCTCACTCTGGCTTTGCAGAAGCAGAAGTGACCAGACACCCCATGGTTGTTTCTGTGGGAAGAGCTGCCTCCACGCCCCCCCCTCCTCACATGCAGCATCAGCAATGGGGAGGAGCGGCTCTGGCTGCACATCCAGCCTGTTCACGGCCCAGGAGGACAGGGGACACCAGCCCAACAGGGCTTTGCATCGCTGCGACCTGCCCGAGACCAGCCACACTAGCCCTGGCAGGCTGCTGGGGGCAGGGAGGGCTGAACGTGGGGCAATGGGACTGCAAAACCCTCTTGCATGGAGAAGACACAAGCCAAGAAGCCCAAGGTGGACCACCAGCTCCATCCATCCTGGAGCTTCACCTCCCCTCTGCTTTCTGCCCTCCCTGCCTTGGTTAGAAGGAATTCAGGGCCTCTTGCCCTCACCTGCAGTCTGGGGATTGTGCCTGGGTGTCCCTCCCAGAGCCACGAGCATCCAGAGCCCAGTCCCACCTCCCCACTTGGGAGGACCTTCCAGAATAGCTCTTGCTCCTCTGGAGCTCCCCACGGGGTCTGCTCCCACCAGTCAGGGGCTTTTGTGCTCTTCTGCAAGTCTCACCTTAACCTCTCCAAGGCCTCTCCTGCCCTCTCCCCAGTGAAGGCAGGAGGTTTCCTTCCCCCAAAAAGCTCTCCCCAGCTCTCTGTCCCCGCCAGCGTTCCCCTTGAGCAAGAGGCAAGTTTGCATTAGCTGCTTTCTTCTACCTCAGCCAACGCAGATGGACAGACGGACCCCTCTGGAAGGGGAGATAAAGCCAAAGCACAGCTGGACCGGTCTCTGGTAGGATGCTCAAGAGAAGGACTCCCTTCCTGCCACCATGTCTCCATGGGCAAAAGCAAGGGGATCCCAGTAAAGCCCGGGGGACGTGTCCTCCCACCTTCCCGGCTTACCTGGAGCCAGCAGCGTCCACCCCTCGGAGGAGCCCTGTCCCGGAGGCATCACCCATGGGTGACTATTTATGATGTCCCAGCGTGTGCTCCACATCTTCCTCTTCCACTCCGAGGTCCACCCACTGCATCAGTCATGGTCCTTCCCTCTCCCACACGGCCAGCGGCTCAGAAGGAAGGATGACTGTCCTGGCTGAGTGAGCCAGCCTCTGCGCTGTGGCGGCCCATCCAGCCGTTCCATCGTGGCCCTTCCACTGGCAGAAGCCAGGAGTCCACCAAAACATTCGCAACATCAGATTTTAACGCTTCTACCACACCTTCCTGAAATGCCTTGACCGTTGCCTGAGTAGCACTGGAGCGACCGGCCGTGACTACGCACAGCGAACATTCTCCCCTCTCCTCTGCATCCCACTCTGTATGTCCACGTCCTCCACCAAGGGCTTCCTCCATCACATTTCACCTTATTTCCCCCCGTTGTGCAAGAGCTTTGTGCGTGGATGCTGAAGAGTTCACATTTGCCTCTTCTCATTTTTACCCACGGGAAGGGGGCACACTAATATTTTAACAAAAGCTTTTAAATAAATAACTATTCATCAGACCCACCGGGTTCCTATCTCCTGCCCTTTGCCTCCTTGCAGATGGCCCAGGTTCTCCTCCAGGTGTTGAGCATCTCCCATTACGTATATACATCACGCCTCGGCAAGCGCTGAGTGAGAACGGTTATTTCTGGATATCTTAATTACTGCAAGTCGTCAGCGTTTCAGAGTCCTGTCCGGGGTGCCCATGACTGGCAGCTAACGTGCAATGGGGAAGCCCCTCTTCTCCCCCCACGGAGAAGGTCTGACGGTAGCAGCTCCAAGATGGGAACAGGATGGGAAAATGTGACCCATGGATCTGAGAACAGGAGACAGGGATGCTGTGGTACAGGAGTTGTCAAAAACGTGGCGTTTTTTCTGGCAGAGGAGCTACAGGCAGCACAAGCAGGGAGGAGAATGGCTTGTGGGCTGTGCGGGTGAAAGGCAGAACCTCCTCAAAGGAGAGTTTGGAGGAGGTTCATGTTCCTCGTGCGTTCATCATGAGGACCTGAGGCACATCAGCTGCTTGGGACGTGGGCTTCCCCGTCTGCAACAGCCACCAGAGACAGAGCGTGAATGCAGGTTTTACAGCTCTGACACAGCCTTGCTCCCATAGAGTAAATAAAAAAAAGCAATGAGAGTGCTGCTGTTTGGTTTATAACCCAGCTTTGCTCTGCCCAGGGCAATGCACACGCGCAGCATTTGCCAACACAGTGCAAAGTGGCTTTTCCTGCTTTCAAATCAATGACTATGGGACTGCCAAGAATATAAGCCTGCTCTTAAGTACAGCGTGCCATGGTCTGTCGGAAGAAATAGAAAATGGAGTTGGAGCCCTTGAGTGCCACGTGGAAAAAGATGGGACAGGTGAGGCTGGGTTACATCAGCCAGTTCCGCTTCTCTAGGAAAAATAAGCTGAGAGGAGCAGATCATCTGAATAATGATGGTTCCTCTGAAAGGAAAAATCAGAGTTTGCACCATCACGGAAATCCCCGTTTTATTCTTCAGTAACATGAATCGGTCTCTCAAGAGCAGACACATGCAGGACAGCAGGCTGCTGAAAATAATCCAATTTTTCCTTCCTCTCTTTTTTCACTTAGAGAGGAAGCGTTTTTCACTCTACTGGAAGAAAATTGTGTTGCAACCTCATCTTGTGGCCTTTCCTCCGTCACAGCAATCTGAGCTTCCCACGTTACCGCACACATGATCTGGTCAATCATCTCCCCCAGGAAACCCCACGCCACTCCACGTGAAGTGGCAGGGTGAACCTTTTCCCCAGCATCGCTCATCTTCCCCTTACACCCACTCCACCCCGAGTCCGTAAAAGTAATAATAATAATAGGCTAATTTTAGCCCTGCAGGGTAGAGCACAGCTTCCCAGGCACCGTGAGTGGCTTCACGCCTCCCTTTCTCACGTGAGAACTCAATTCTGGAAGCGGCAGCACAGCAGTTCCAGGCAAGTGTCTTGCTGCCAAGTCACCCGGCCACAGCGCTGCCATGTGTGGTCCCGATCCTGGCTCGGCAAGGTCCTCCTGCAAACTGCTTCTCTGACACTGGCTTGCAGGTTAAAACCAAGAGGTATCTTGTGTCTATCCTCTAGTTCCTTGACCTGCAGACTACGATGAAAAAATATTTCTGACTCAGTTGGAACAGGAAATATTTTCCTAAGGTGCGTGAAGAGATCAGGCTGTTTGCCAGCCCCGAGAGGTGCACAAGTCTTTATCACCAAAAAAAAAAACCAGAATTGTCCATTTCTGAGAAGAAGAGGTGAACATGCCAAAAACAAGAGGGAAAGTCACTTCCAAGATACCCCCGGAAAGGCAGCTGGAGCACCAGCCTTCTCCTGGCCTCCTCTGGAGGTCAGTGCCTCCGGGAAGGGGTTGACCATGGAGCTTTGACAACCTCCCTCAAGAAAGCTTCGGGTTTGGGTACGCCAAGCCCATGTGTCCTCCTCTCCAAGGCACACTGGAGATGAGTCACAACAAGCACTGGTTGAAGATTTTAGCATGACTGGTGGCACCATTTCCCCAGCTCCAGGCTGGACCCACCCCCGGCCAGGGCTGAGCCCATCAGCACCTCTGCCAATGACAGACTGAAGAGGGGACACGGAACATGGGGGCTGGCGCAGTCCTGGGCAGGGCACACCCCCACCGTCCAGCTGCCTGCCCAGCTTCTTCTGCAACCCAACCTGCCGCAGCCAAAGCCTCTGCCATGGCCCACCAGAGAGTCTGTTTCCTTGGGAGCCGGTGAAAGAACCTGCGGTGGAGAGAGAAGCGGGATCTGAGAGAGAAAACTACCCAGACACAACAGTCAGTGAAGGGAAAGGAGAGGAAGGAGGTGCCCCAGAACAGAGACCACCCTGCAGCATGGTGAACACTCCTGGTGACGCACGTCATCCCAGTGCAGCCCGTGAGAAGAGCTCGTTTGTAGCTCATGGAGATGCAGCCGTGGAGAACCCCATGTTGGAAGAAGTAGCCGTGGCCGAAGGAGGCCATGAAACCCACAGCGGAGCCGAGCAGTTGTCAGAGGACCGTGAGCCTG